GGTTTCTGTCGTTTACAGGCGGCAATAGATTTGGCCCACATTTCTCTGGCCGTCAATAATACACGTGTTGTGGACAGCATTCAGGTGTCGGCACAGCAAATGCCTACCCCATCGGTCACACATGTGGTCCGCAATAAACCAAATAACTATAATTTGATAGATTATTATAAGAAAGTTATATTTGTAATAGTGTTTGAATTGTTACTTATGTTACCCGTTGTGGTGAAGCGTATAGTAGAGGACAGACAAACACTGATTACCGACTATTTGCTACGTCTGGGCGTCAATAAGATTGACTACTGGTTGGCAATTATCATAGATTCCCTGACCGTAATCGGTGTCCAGTATATGATTGTTACGGCAATTCTGTGTTATCCTAATATTAAATATCGTGGCGAATATAATAATCCCGATTCATTCCTGTATTCGCATTCACTTCTATACGGAATCTCTCTGTCATTGTTTGCCGTCTTTTCGACACTATTTCTCATTCAAAGCATACTATTTGTGGCCTTAATATCGGTTTTCTTCAGGAGTCCCAACATTGCAGTCATTGTTACCATAATCTCATGGATTATAATCTCATTAATACCATTGACTTTTATGGAATATATTAAAGATTTTGGGTATAAAATCATAATATCCTGTTTATTGCCAAACTTTGCATTGATTTGTTTAAAAGTGTATTGATACCCTAATCATGAGTTATGGAGAATGTTACGGTTAACCGGCGTATATAAACTTGGACCAAAGAAAATACTGTTGTACTGAAATACAGTATATTATCAACAATACGAATAGAGATACCCAATGTATGCGCTATTGATTTGGTATTTCTCGTCAATCATACCATTCAAACACACAATTCATAAACCGTTTTATTTTCCCGTTTTATATATTTATGAAAAAATTAAACAATTTTCCAACAAAAAACATTTTGAAGAAATATACGAACCGATGATTGATTCAAATCAAGCCGTTATTCATATTAGAAATGTGTGCAAAACTTATAAAACATTGTTTGAAAGAAAATGTGTGAAAACATTAAATGATATTAATCTAGAGATCAGCGGGAAGTCTATTGCCGTTATTGTGGGACCCAATGGTTCGGGAAAGACATCACTTATTAACATAATTACCGGTATTATTGTAAAGCATAATCTTAATTATTTTATTTATAATTTAAAATTCAACTTGTACATTGTGTGATATTAGTTATTTTTATTCTCTATTGTGAATAACCTTTTTTTTATAAAAAATTATTAATTATGTTATATAATTATTTTGTAAATATATAGGAGCTATTGATTTTGAGGGACAGATATCTATCGGTAGACACGATATCCGTAAAGATAAGCATTTGGTTCAGAAAATGATTAGTTTTTGTCCTCAAGAAAATGTTTACTTCAAATACTTGACAATTAGAGATCATTTGAAAATATTCTCGCAATTAAAGCAAACCATACGACAGAGTAATGATGGATACAGTGGTGAAGAACTCATCACTAGATTAGGTCTTAACGAAGCCATAGACAAACAGGCATTACATCTGTCCGGCGGTACTCTTCGACGACTGGTTCTGTCTTTGGCTCTCATCGGACACAACGATGTCTTAGTATTAGACGAACCGACGGCTGCTTTGGATCCGAAGGTTAGACAACAGGTTTGGGATTTAATCATTGAATACAGAAAATCAAATACAGTTTTAATCACTTCTCATGACTTCGAAGAAGCAAATCTACTCTCGGATCAGATCTGTGTTATCTCTAAAGGAGTTCTTTGTTTCAATGGAACCACTCTTCAGATGAAACATGAATTCAATTCCGGATATGAATTGAAAATTAATAAATCAAATGAAATGCAAACCGAGAGTCAAATCACAAAAACTATTTCAAAATACAATGAAATCAAGAGTTTCTCGAAAAATATTTTGGGAGACAATGAAGAACTGGTTTTCGGTCTAAACTTTGAACAAAACGATAGATTCGGACAAATGTTTGACGAATTGGAGAGAAATAATACTTTATTAGCGATTAATAACATGTCGTTAGGGATGACAACACTCGAGGGCTCTTACGCTAAGATTGTCTCAAAAATTGATGATAAAATACCTGAAGATTTTGAAATTAATATCAATGATAATAACGATAATCTGTTTACTGAATCATTAAATACACAACAAAACAAAATCTCGACTTTAAGACTAGTTTTAAGTCAATTTTACGGCATTTTTGTTAAACGATATCATTATCTGTCGAAACAATTCTCAATGTTTTTAATATTATTAATAATTCCTATCATTTCTATAATAATACAGTTTCAGTTGATTGAATGCATCATTTATAACAAGTGGCATGATCATTTTGATAAAATACCGTTAAATATACGACACAATATTAATCCCCAAATATATGGCAAAAATATGAATGGATTCGTTGTAACAAATGATAAACATTTTGCTAAAAGTTATGCCAAAGTATTGAGTGATTTGGGAATTAATGAAATTAATTTGCGAAATGATGTCCACAAAGATATACAACAATCACTACTTGAATACAGCGATCAAAACGGTTTATCGCCATATTTTAAAAAGTTATTGTTTGGCGTTTCCACTTATATTAATGATGATAATATTTCCACATATGATAAATTAATAAATATAAATGTTTGGTACAATTCAATAGCCATTCATTCACTGCCAATATCTATAAATTTAATGTCAAACGCTTTAATCAAAAAATTGACTCAAAACAATAACTATCGGATTACTATCTCTACTAAACCGACAAAATCAACTGAATCTAAAAAGCAACATGATGAAAAAATATTAACTGTATTATACCATGAAGGATCTACATTTATCATTGATTATATCGTGTATTTAATACTGTTTTCCTTCACATCCGCCGCATATATATTACACCCAATAACTGAAAGTAGAGTTAAATTCAAATTAATTCAATTCATGTCAGGACTCAAACCTGTGGTCTATTGGTCGGCAAACTTGGCGTTTGACTTAACCGTACATTTAATGTGTTCAGCAATTTATGCATTGGTTTACTATATCTGTGACACCGAATCGTATTTCACAGGCCATGGGTTATCATCACTCATATCGCTATACATGACATTCATATGCTATGGATTGACATTCATATCATTTGCATATTTACTATCATTTATGTTCACAAATCCGTCGACAGGGTTTGCCTTCACATCAATGTATAGCATAATTATCGGCACAATTATTATGATTTTACAAGCATTTATAGCATTTCAAGATAGATTTTTATTGTGGAACATCCAGAAGATCCCAAAAATATACACCAATATAATGGCTGAAATACTATCAATATTAATGCCGAGCACTTTATTCACAAATTGTATCAATCGTTTGCATCAAATACTTAATTCAAACAACTTTTGTCCTAATTCTGTGGAATTGGGTCAAAATTTTTATTTTAATTGCGATAACAATACAATATTTATGTTTTATTATGCTGAACCTGGTCCTAATTACTGTTGTCCCGGTTATTGTCACAATCAATATGCTCAATGGCGGCATGACATAGATGTAAGAAGTTATAGGGTTAACATTCATCACATAAATCGAGATGGTATACCTAATTGTTATGAATGGCTCAATCCGTTTGATTCTATGGCCGTATATTATGTGAGATTTGCATTGTATGCCGTGTTATATATGGCTATTGTTTTAATCATTGAATATAAAGTGCTTAAGAAATTTGTGAGATTTTTTAGAGAATTGTGTAAAAAAATAGTTATCATTGAAAACATTGAATTACAAGAAATGATGGAGAGATCGGATGTGAGAGAAGAGGCGGAAAGAGTATCACAAGTGATAAGAAGTGGAGATTTTGAAAGCGTTTCACTAATTGTTTACAAATTGAGTAAAAGATTGAAACGAAAGACAATATTAGTAAATGAGTTGTCGTTTTTGGTGAACAGAAGTGAATGTTTGGGTTTATTGGGAACCAATGGTTCGGGAATGACATCAACCTTTAGACTACTCACAGGAGATCTGGACTCAGACTCCGGTAACGCATACTTGGGCTCAGACGCAGACCTGAGGAAAAAATCGGGACAATTCTTCTCACGAATCGATTATTGTCCACAAAATGACGCCCTTTTGGATCCGTTGACAGGAATGCAAACTCTAGTATTCTTTGCCCGAATCCGTGGTCTCGAGAGACAGACTTACGACACATTCATTGGTTTGTATTATTTATTCAAACTTTACTTCCGTTATTAGCTGTTTTCCCAGAGGTGAATATCGCCTCCATTGGCAGCTTTCGACAGAGACCGCCGCCGTGACTACCCGTGAGGGCCCGATAATGACGACGACGAACCCACTAATGGTGTCGACCCCTCCTCTCGGCTTAAAATATGGCAAATATTATCAAAATTAATAAATGAATCAAACATTTCAATACTTATAACGTCTCATAATATGACTGAATGTCAGATATTATGCAATCGTTTGGCGATTCTCTCGAAAGGTGTGATCAAAACCATTGGATTCACTGATGAACTGAAGACTAGATATGCCGTAGGATTTGATATCATTGTTAAAGTGAATAGAGATTCAAACGAAGACTTTATTGAAATACTTCAGAATCGGATGAATGAAATGTTTGGTCAAAATTGTAACGAAATATACAATAATTTTGGTCTCATTTATTATAACCTCATTAATTGTGACATAAAGTTATCTCAAATTTTTAATTCATTGCAAACATTGAAATGTGAACTCAATTTAGAGGACTATTTGGTGTCAAACTCTTCACTACAACAGGCCTTCCTATCAATCACTCAATCCAATGATAATATTAATCATTCAATTCGAGTGTAAATTATTTTATGATAATTTAATCATATTATTTGTTTAAAAGTAATCTTTTCTAGCACCCATGCTTAATTTTATTAGGTTTAACGTGTATGAACCTAATCGTGTATAAAATAATGTGTATAAAATGTTTATATTTATATTAACATACCAACATACTTATTGCCTAAACCACTAAATATTGTGCACAGAATTTGTACAGAATTATCAAATATATAGCTAACATATATTCAAAACATTTAAAACATAGTATCAACTGTTGTATACATGGTATAACTTACAAGTAGGCGATGGCCTTAACCTTCATTATAAATAAATTATTGATTTTCTAGATCTCAGTCGAGACATACAGTATTCAATTGTATTAAATGCAAACATTGTGTTGCATTTGTTATAAGTTATAACGTTAAATTAATTTTATTTCATTGTGTGATGATAAATAAATGTTGTCTAATCTATAAATAATGAATGTTTATTAAAATTAATTGTGAATATTATTTATGAAGTCATAAAGTATATTATGTGTTTTGTCAATGGATAATAATGTAACATGTTATTTATATGAAAATATTCATGTTAACTATATAATAATTATTAAAAGTAATATTTCTTAAATTGCAAATTTCTATCATTTAAATCATTTTAATTCAAACACAATTAAAAACTAAAAACAGCATAAATAATGAAGTTTTCATCGCATATACGAGTGATATGTGTATTACTGCACAAGAATTGGTTAATCAGATCTCACCATAAAATAGCATTTATTTTGCTGTTTATAATTCCCATTATATTTGCCGTAATTGTGGTCGCAATGACTTATGATAACCGGCGAATGATTGAAAGGCGTGAACTTCAAAACACCGTAAAACACATAAACAAGACATATTTTGGGCCCAAAAGTATTACTAATTCATGGGTTAACCCATCGGAATACTATCACTCGCATTATAATTACAGACCGATTGTTATTATCCCGATGCATTTCTACGTAATCTATTATCCGGCTAATAATACCTATATAAATACCCTGATGAACAGAGTTAAGCATCGACTAAACCCTACGATAAATGCATCGCAAATATTTCACGTGTTGGCCGTTGGGACGGACAGTGAGTTTTTATCCAACCTAACAAACCCTAGTGTTATAATAGACGGTATGATTGTTGCCAATGTGTTAGGCGTGGAGTTTACCGGCAGTGCCATCAGTGGCTCTACACTACTCGACAACAGGCTACGGGTGCCCAAACATCTGGCCTATACTATAACATTAAAGGATATGAACTATCACGAACCCCTAACGTACGAGCCGTACGTTGAAATTGTTTCGGCTATAAATCTCCCAAAACATGATGACAACAGATATCGACTACGATATTATAACTTTGGTTTCTGTCGATTACAGGCGGCCATAGATTTGGCCCACATTTCGCTGGCCGTCAATAATACACGTGTTGTGGACAGCATTCAGGTGTCGGCACAACAAATGCCCACCCCTTCCGTCACACATGTGATCCGCAATGAAGACATTACATACAATTTGATGAATGGTTATGAGATAGTTATGTTACATTATCACAAACTTAACAATGAATACAATGGGCAACACCACTTCGCATATCATCTCCTGTCTGTCTGTGACTAATGGCTGATAAACGATGCAGACCCGCAGTTATCCTAACTGATGACCAACCGGTTTATTATAGACTCCCTGTCAGTAATTGGTGTCCAGTATATGATTGTTACGGCAATCCTATGCTATCATAATATTCATTACAGAGAGGGGTATGACATCAATAATCCATTTATATATTCGCATTCACTTCTATACGGAATCTCTCTGTCATTGTTTGCCGTCTTTTCGACACTATTTCTCATTCAAAGCATACTATTTGTGGTCTTAATATCGGTGTTCTTCAGGAGTCCTAACATTGCAGTTATTGTTACCATAATCTCAATATCATTGATACCGATCACTCAAATGGGATTTTCATATCAAGATTTTACTCTAATAACACATTTTGGTTTAGAAACCCTGTCCTCACTGCTGCCAAACTGTGCGCTAATTTGGTTTTTTCACATATGTATGGGACTGGAGGTCAATACCCCTTACACTGCCAATTGGCCGCATATTTTTGAACCAGGGTTCATCTTGGATGAAATGACTTTAAGCCATATAATGATTGTAATGATAGTCTCGTATCCAATATATGCGCTATTGATTTGGTATTTCTCGTCAATCATACCATTCAAACAAACAATTCGTAAACCGTTTTATTTTCCTGTTTTATGTATTTATGAGAAATTGAAACAAATATTTAACAAAAAGCATTTTGAAGAAATATACGAACCAATAATTGACTCAAATCAAGTCGTTATTCAAATTAGAAACTTATGCAAAACTTATAAATCAATGTTTGGGAAAAAATATGGGAAAATATTAAATGATATCAGTCTAGAAATCAATAGGAAGTCTATTGCCGTTATTCTGGGACCCAATGGTTCGGGAAAGACATCACTTATTAACATAATTACTGGTAATTTTATTATTATTTAAAATTAAACAAACTATTTATGAATATTTTCATTTAAAATAATTAGTATAAAATTAAATTTAATATTTAATGAATTATAGGGGCGATTGATTTTGATGGACAAATATCTATTGGTGGACACGATATCCGTAAAGATAAGCATTTGGTTCACAAAATGATTGGTTTCTGTCCTCAAAAAAATGTTTACTTCAAATACTTGACAATCAAACAACATTTGAATATATTCTCGCAATTAAAGCAAACAATTCGCGAGAGTAATGATGGATACAGTGGTGAAGAACTCATCACTAGATTAGGTCTCAGCGAAGACATTGACAAACAGGCGTTACATCTGTCCGGCGGTACTCTTCGACGACTGGTCCTGTCTTTGGCTCTCATCGGACACAACGATGTTTTAGTATTAGACGAACCGACGGCTGCTTTAGATCTGAGGCTTAGACAACAATTTTGGGATCTAATGAAAGACTCGACAAAAAACAAAACAGTTTTGATTACTTCTCACGACTTCGAAGAAGCGAATCTACTCTCGGATCAGATCTGTATTATCTCTAAAGGAGTTATTTGTTTCAATGGAACCACTCTTCAGATGAAACACGAATTCAATTCCGGATATGAATTGAAAATTAATAAATCAAATGAAATGCAAACCGAGAGTCTTATAAAGAAGATAATTGCAAAATACAGTGAAATCAAGAGTTTATCGAAAAATAGTTTGGGAGACAATGAAGAACTGGTTTTTGGTCTAAACATTGAACAAAACGATAGATTCGGACAAATGTTTGACGAATTAGAGAGAAATAAGACTTTATTAGCGATTAATAACATGTCGTTAGGGATGACAACACTCGAGGGCTCTTACGCTCAGATTGTCTCAAAAGCGGACAACAATTTGCCCGAAGATCTCAACATTGATATCAATGATAATAGCGGTAACTTATTCACAGAATCACCGAATGCACAACAACATCAAATTTCAACTTCAAAACTGGTTTTAAGTCAATTTTACGGCATTTTTGTGAAACGATATCATTATCTGTCGCAACAATTTTTAATGTTTTTAATATTATTAATAATTCCTATCATTTCTATAATATTACGCTTTGCCTGGATTGATTATAACATGAATAAGATTAACAGATACTATCTAGCTCATTTTGATAAATTACAATTGAATAGCAAACAAATCTACGGCAAATATATAAACGGATTTATTGTCACAAATGATCAACAATTTGCCAAAAGTTATGCCAAATTATTGAGTGATTTAGGAATTAATGAAATTAATCTGCAAAATAATGTTCACAAAGATATACAGCAATCACTACTTGAATACAGCGATCAAAACGGATTATTATTTTATGTTAAAAAGTTATTATTTGGTGTTTCCACTAATAATACAAATAATACAATTAATATAAATGTTTGGTACCATGCAGTAGCCGTTCATTCACTACCAATATCATTGAATTTAATGACAAATGCATTGATAAAACAATTAACTCAAGACAATGATTATCGGATTACTATCGCTACTAATCCGCCCAAAATATATCAGGAAAGTAGAATAAATGGTAGAAAAATGGAGAAAACACATTATTTTATTCACTACCTGGATTATTTAATGCTGCTTTCATTCACATCCGCCGCATATATATTACAACCGATTACTGAAAGTAGAGTTAAATTCAAATTAATTCAATTCATGTCAGGACTCAAACCAGTGGTCTATTGGTCGGCAAACTTGGCGTTTGACTTAACCGTACATTCAATTTGTTCAGCAATTTATATATTCGTTTACTATATCTGTGACACAGAATCGTATTTTATAGTCAAAGACTATTCATCACTCATATCTTTATACATGACATTCATTTGCTATGGATTAACATTCATATCATTCGCATATTTGCTATCATTTATGTTTACAAAGCCGTCGACAGGGTTTGCCTTTTCATTCATGTATAACCTAATCATCGGAACAATTATTATATTTTTACAACAATTTATAGCACTTTCAGACACTTTATTGATCCGTCAGTACATCCCAAACATCAGAAACATCCTAATCATCCCAAAGATACCGAAGATATACTCAAATATAATGACAGAAATATTATCGATATTAATGCCGAGCACTGTATTTATAAATCTCTTCGATGATTCATTGACTGTATATTACGCGAGGCTTGCATTGTATCCCATGTTATATATGGCTATTGTTTTGGTCATTGAATATAATGTGTTTCAAAAATGCATAAGATTTTGCAAACAATTGTGTATAAATGTTAATATAAATGTCAACAGTTTTGAATTACAAGAAGTGATGGAGAGATCGGATGTGAGAGAAGAGGCGGAAAGAGTATCACAAGTGATAAGAAGTGGAGATTTTGATAGCGTTTCACTAATTGTCCACAAATTGAGTAAAAGAGTGAATCGGAAGACAGTATTAGTGAATGAGTTGTCGTTTTTGGTGAACAGAAGTGAATGTTTGGGTTTATTGGGAACCAATGGTTCGGGAAAGACATCAACCTTTAGACTACTCACTGGAGATCTGGACTCAGACTCCGGTNAACAGAAGTGAATGTTTGGGTTTATTGGGAACCAATGGTTCGGGAAAGACATCAACCTTTAGACTACTCACTGGAGATCTAGACTCAGACTCCGGTAACGCATACTTGGGCTCAGACGCAGACCTGAGGGTAAAAACACAGAAATACTTCTCACAAATCGGTTATTGTCCACAAAATGACGCCCTTTTGGATCCGTTGACAGGAATACAAACTCTTGTATTCTTCGCCAGAATTCGTGGTCTCGAGAGACAGACTTACGACACATTCATTACAAACATAATAAATAAGTTTGAAATGAAAGCAATAATTGACAAAAGGGTCTCCACTTATAGCGGGGGTAACCGTCGAAAGCTGTCTCTGGCGGCGGCACTGATGGGCACTCCCGGGCTATTACTGCTTGACGAACCCACTAATGGTGTCGACCCCTCCTCTCGGCTTAAAATATACAAAATATTAAATGATTTAATGATTTCGTCAAACATTTCAATACTATTAACGTCTCATAATATGATTGAATGCCAGATATTATGCAATCGTTTGGCGATTCTCTCGAAAGGTGTGATCAAAACCATTGGATTCACTGATGAACTGAAGACTAGATATGCCGTAGGATTTGATATCATTGTTAAAGTGAATAGAGATTCAAATGAAGCAATCATTGAAACACTGAAGTGTCGGATGAGAGAAATGTTTGGAGAAAAATGTGTTGAAAAATATAGTAATTTTGGTCTCATTTATTATAATCTTATGAATAGTGACATAAAGTTACCGCAAATTTTCAATTCATTGCAAACATTAAAATGTGAACTCAATTTAGAGGACTATTTGGTATCAAACTCTTCATTACAACAGGTCTTCCTATCCATCACTCAATCCGACAATAATATCATTCATTAATACAGTGTTTATATGACTTTTTCAGAATAAATTTTACTAAAAATTTTTACTTTATATTAGACATGTAATAACATTAGAAAATATTCTACTAAAATGTATGTTTAAAATTATTTAATTGTTTAAATTTTATCATAACAGATATTTATTGAATGCAAGAAATTATTGTTCAGACCATTAAGTCGGGGCAGCTATGGGTTCGGTGGCGATGACGGGTGGGGTGGGGGTCACAGCGGGCCCTGTAATGGGCGGAATTGTGGTGATCACAACATTGGCAGCCACGGGTGTTTCGGAAACGGGTTTGGGTTTGTTTTTAAACTTGTTTTTAGCCGCGAGGAACTTCTCTTTCAACGAGCTGTAAACCACTGCCGTCTTGTCCTTAACCTTAATCGCTGTCGCTTTGGTCTTAACGGCGCCGGCACTGGCCTTCTGTCCCATCCATTCCTTGGTTTTGTCCGAAATGATCATTTGTCTCGCTTTCTTGAGAGCGGGAGCCGGTGTTGTGGTTGTCGTTGTCGATGGAGTGGTGGTCGAGAAGTCATAGCTATATGTGTTTGACTCGTCGTACGAACCCATACCGAAGTCCCCGTCGGCGGCAAACTTAAGGACTTTGTCCTCGTCTTGCGATTCACCCGATGTTTTGCCCTTTCTTTTGGCCAAAGACTTGGTCTCTGCCGCCTCTTCTTCCTCTTCATCTTCCGCTTCAATTATCGCTTTCTTAGGTTTGCGTTTGTAATGTGTTTTGAGTTCTTCCCTGTATGTGAGCCGATGTCCACCCGATTCCCGATAACTAATTGTATTGTCTTTCGGCAATCCATTGGTGTGTCTCTCGATTGGATGCGGAAGTCTATAGCCTTTGTTGTTATTGTGATTATTTTGGTGTTGCCTATAGAGCGGCTGCTTTACGTGAAATGCATGTTCATTGTGATGGATGTGATTGTATTGGTGTCCATAATGTGGATAATTATGCCCGTAATGTCTTCTGTCGTAATAGTCATGTGTGTAATAATTTGGTTTGCATTCAATCCTAATAAAATATAATTATATATTTTACTAAACAATTAAGATTTATATTTATTTCTTACCAAATAATAAACACAAAGAATAATTGCAAAATAAAATATGGATTTGTAATTAACATATCAAATGATATACAGTATATTTTTTATAGAGTAATATTATTGTTATGATAGACATGTTTTATAACATTCAAAAACATAAGGTAATTATTATGAAATATAATATGATTTATTACTTTCGTATAAAAATTACTTGTAAAAGATACGTGACCATTAAATTAAACTAGAAAAATATACTTTAAAACCTATGGTTCAAGTGAATAAGGTGTTTTTTGAAGTTGCAAGTTACGGTTAGATAATTAGGCACAGAAAGCGATGCCTTGTTTTAAACTAATAAAATGTTTTTAAACGCAATTTACCACAATAAATGTTTTATATAAAATAACAATCATTATCATATTATATACTATTTATTATAGAGCTATTATTCGTATACAACTAGTGTAGTATATTTTTGCTATAATAAAGCGTGAATAAATTTAATTGCAAATGATTAGCCGAGATGAAATTGTCCCTGTGGAGAGTTTAAGTGTAATTAAACATGTATAATTTTAGCCATAAATTATACCATAAACTGTAAACATAATTATAAATGCCATTTAAATGGAAAAATTATTATTATTCTGAGAATTACGACAAAATAAGTATTTGTATACCACGTTTTATTTAATTTCACAATTTTACAACTTACTATAATTTTATTATAGTAGTTTATTATAATTCACTTTTATTATTACATTCAATTTTAATTTTGAGCTTATTAAAATACTAGTTAATTTATGTGGAATTTTTTATCACCACCACTTTATTAGTGGCAAATGAAACCATAAAACAAATAGTATTATTATTTTAAAGTTAATTGTAATATTACATTATAATCAAAGCTAAATATTAGGAAAACCACAGGCAACTTATTAAACATTTAAATCTAGACATATATAGTATACTAAATAATTTATAAAATAAATCATATACAGTATATCTTTAGTAGGTAGCAACAGTAATAATATCATTGTTTCTGCAAGTTGCTTTATGTATGTTATATTTTATGATTTATGTTTGTTAATACAAAATATTCAATTAAATTCATACAATATATTTATATATACAGGATATATATTATTATTAATTATGATCAAGAAAATATATTAATAATTATTTATAAATCAGTAATCAAAATAATATTCACAAATAGTAATTAATATTGGCATAAAATGCTGGATCAAAATCATGACGATTATAATAATAATGTCTACTATCCGGACGACGAGTGCAAAAAAAGGGCTCACATCTCATCGATGGATGAATACAATAAACTGTACCAAAAGTCTGTCTCAAATCCCGAAGAGTTTTGGACACAAGTGGCCAAAGAGTTCTTCTGGAACCGATGGCCGACAGACATGGAGTTTGTGTCCTATAATTTCGATGTCCGCAAAGGACCCGTTGCGGTGAAATGGTTGGACGGGTGCCAAACCAATGTGTGTTACAATGTGTTGGATCGGCTCATCATAGATAAAGGACTGGCCGATCGAGTGGCCTTTCATTGGTGAGAGTATAGTGAATATAAATATATATTTAAACCTTGTTTACTCGTATGCCTTATATATAATATTACTTTTTTTTAATGTTTGTTATAGTTTTATTTGTTTAATTATTGATTAATCCAATTATATTTTAAAACTACATGCTATTAACAAATAACAGGCAATCCAATGACGATAAGTGCAGCAAAAGTGTCACTTACAGTGATTTACTGCGCGATGTGTGCCGTTTCGCAAACGTCATGAAGGGTTTGGGCGTTAATCGGGGCGATAGAGTGGCCATATATATGTCGGTGACCGTAGAGGTGGTGGTTGTTATGCTGGCCTGCGCTCGGATCGGCGCCGTTCACTCAGTAGTCGTACGTACGCCTAAATGTTACCTTGTTGTTATTTTATGCTAATTAATGCTGGTTGATTTATGTGTGTTTTTAATTATGCAACTTTTTTTTGTTACTTTTAACAGTTCGCCGGTTTCTCTGCCAAAGCGCTCGCCGACCGTATAATAGACGCTAATTGTGTGCTATTAGTGACGGCTGACGGCGCCTATCGGGCCAACAAATTTGTGCCATTGAAATCAATTGCCGACTCAGCGCTTGATATATGCAAACAATTGTAAATATATTTTTATTATACTAGTGAGAGAGAGAGAGAGAGAGAGAGAGAGAGAGAGAGAGAATTATTAAATAATTCAATTTTAATATAAAGTTTATTACTGTAAAAACCAAATAATTTCAACTTATTTTATCGTTTTTTAAAAGCACATCAAAATTTTACATAATTAATTTATTTGTGTATTTAACTTTCACAATATTTATCGTTAAAATGTATTAAATAAATAACTAAAAGTTATATTAAAATGGCTTTTTGTTTATAGAAATCACAAAGTAATGGCCTGTATAGTGAACCCACATCTAAACCTACATAGGATTAACATTAGCAATGGTAACACTGATAATGAAGACAATAACGATAATTCATCGATCAATTGGTACCCAAATATGGATATCCTATGGACTGATGCCATGAATAAAGTGACCGATTATTGCGAACCCGAATGGATGAACTCCGAGGACCCACTCTTCATACTATACACTAGGTTTTTAAAGCAATTATAATTTGCACTAAACATACAGTTCCTGTCATCATATCAAATATCATCACTACTCTAGTATAATTTACAATATGACCAGGATAAAAGCCGCTAGGCATATAGAGCTAACCCCGTTTATATTCCGTATTCACGTAATAAACATTGCGATTTAAATTGCGCTAGGCACAAAATACAAACAAAACAATGCTAGGGTAAATGGTAAAAATCTACCACAAATACTTAACTATTGCACAATTTGCATGGGACTTTTTCTAACAATATAAATAATTAGGGTAATAAAAACACACTTATTTACATAATTTGCACTTTTTATGTGTGTTTTGCAAAATGCAGTGGAAGTACCGGAAAACCCAAAGGGATTGTCCACACGAGCGCCGGGTATTTACTCTACACATACATCTCATACAAACACACGTTTAATTACACCGATGGCGACGTATTCATGTCCACATCGGACTTGGGCTGGTTGGCCGGCCACACGTTCAGCGTATACGGACCGCTGGCCAACGGCGGCACTGTTGTCATGTTGGAGGGCACCCCATACTGGCCGACGCCCGACCGGCTTTGGCGACTCGTCGACCAATTGGCGGTCACTATGCTATACACGACGCCCACTATTATACGACAGCTAATGACGTATGGCGAGCAACGAGTTAGAAATTATAGCCGCCGGTCGCTAAAAGTGTTGGCAGTGGTCGGCGAGCCCATGAATCCGGACGCCTGGCGCTGGGTGTGGGATGTGGTGGGAGAGCGCCGGTGCTCAGTGGTCGACACGTACGGCCAAACGGAAACTGTATGTTTGAAACACAATGTTACAAAACCAAAATAATTTGTAACTTTATATAAAATATTATAACATCTACGATAGGGAGCGATGATCACCGGACTGGCCGGCTGTACGCCAATGAAACCGGGCTCAGCCGGTCTGCCCCTATTTGGTGCGGTGCCCGCTATACTGGACGCCGAGGGTCGCGAGTTGGACGGGCCGGCTGTCGGTCAGTTGGTATTCAAAAAGCCGTGGCCCGGCATAGCGCGCACGATAGCCGGCAATCACGGCTGGTATGAAATGACTTACTTTAATAAGTTTAAGGGCTATTACTGGACGGGCGACGGCGCCCGACGCGACGCCGACGGCTACTATTATATGACCGGCCGTATAGACGACACGCTGAAAGTGTCTGGACGTCTGTTGTCTACTGTGGAGATAGAGGGGGCGGTTGTCGGGCACCGGGCGGTGGCCGAGGCGGCGGCCGTGTCGGCACCCCATCTCATAAAAGGCCACTGCATTCACGTGTTTGTTGTGTTGTGTAATGGATTTGTATTGACACCCGATTTGGTGGTTGAGATCAAAAGCAGAGGTATTTTTTGTTTGTATTATATTATGTGTTTTGATTAATAAAGTGTAATCTCTATATGAGAAACGGGTAAAGGGGTTGCATTATGACTAAATATCTAAGAAAGTTATAGTAAAAGTGTTTTTAAAATGTTTTCTATGGAGAGATAATTTTGCCAACATGAGTTTTTTAAATATAAAATAAGTTGCATTTTATTTTATATTATTAATTAATTAATTTGTATCATTTGTTGTCCAAAATGTAAAGTTAGGGCCAAAATAGGAGCGCCGGCCGAACCCGAGGCGATCTACGCGGTCAGTGCACTACCGAAGACTAAAACCGGTAAAATTATGCGCCGAATACTGACTAAGGCTATGAGTAATGNGATCTACGCGGTCAGTGCACTACCGAAGACTAAAACCGGTAAAATTATGCGCCGAATACTGACTAAGGCTATGAGTAATGACCGCCTATTGGGCGACACGTCCGCAATGGCCGACGAGTCGGTACTCCCGGAGCTGTTCGCCATCACAACCGGCGAGATATTAAATGTTTATCCGTTCAATGATTAGCTCACGTGTTCATTATCAGCATGATTAATTATGATTAATTATCATTATGATTAATCAGAATTATTAGCGTTTGCATACTTTATGGTATATTTTATTTATAATTTTAAATTTTGTTGCGAATACAAAGAAATATTAATGATAACATAAAATTATAATTAGTCTGTGCAATTAAATAAAATATTCCACAATGTAACATTTTAATAAATTTGAAATATAATTTTAATTGAATGCTGTATAAACTATAGTTATAAATTATAACTTATAATATAAACTGCAGTTGTGTTTATCAAATTGGTTAAATTTGCATATATTTGAAAGGTTAGTATTTTATTAATATTTTCTTATTTACAATATTTTATACACCCGCCAGGAATAAAATACATATAAATTATGTATGGATCAGGGCAGCTGTAGGGCAGCTTTTCAATGCAAGTTTACATTGAGTCATGTGTTTTCTGCTCATCTATATAAATTATTAATTTGTTATAATGAAATAGAGGACAACTCATATGCACGATATTTTGCCACAATTTTCATATAGGTGGTATGCAATGGAGTGCAAGGTGAAGCGAATTATTTCGGGCACCTATCGAGGTATGATAAGGTGCCATTGAATGTGTTAGGTGGAATGCAGTGGAGTGATTACAATAACCGTTATAAAACTAGCAAATACAGAGATTATCAAAGGTTCAATTGAATGTGAGAGGTGGAATGCACTGAAGTAGAAAGTAATGCGTATTGGGCTAGGTAAACATGAAAGTGCTTGTAGGTTCCATTTGAGGCCCCTTACGAGGTATTCAATGAATAACTATGTGAAGCGAATTATTTTAGGTAAATATCGAGGTGAACAATGGTGCCATTTATTGTACAAAGTGGAATGCAGTGACACGAAAAAAATTGCGAGCTTAAATCGAGTTAACACCGAGATGGTTTAATGTGCCATATACAGCTTAATATGCAATATAAATTATTTGTGTTACATGAATTAATATAGGTAACTAGTTGTCTATTATAAGAATCAATGAACAATATTATCATTGGATTGAGTGATGGATAGGAAGACCTGTTTTAGTGAAGAGTTTGACACCAAATAGTCCTCTAAATTGAGTTCACATTTCAATGTTTGCAATGCATTGAAAATTTGCGATAACTTTACGGAATTCATGAGACTGTAATAAATGAGACCAAAATTACTATATTTTTCAACACATTTTTCTTCAAACATTTCATTCATCCGACTCTTAAGGGTTTCAATGATCTCTTCATTTGAATCTCTATTCACTTTAACAATGATATCAAATCCTACGGCATATCTAGTCTTCAGTTCATCAGTGAATCCAATGGTTTTGATGACATCTTTCGAGAGAATCGCCAAACGATTGCATAATATCTGGCATTCAATCATATTATGAGAAGTTAAGAGTATTGAAATGTTTGATTCATTCATTAATTTTGATAATATTTGCCATATCTTGAGCCGAGAGGAGGGGTCGACACCATTAGTGGGTTCGTCGAGCAGTAATAGCCCGGGAGTGCCCATCAGTGCCGCCGCCAGAGACAGCTTTCGACGGTTACCTCCGCTATAAGTGGAGACTTTTTTGTCAATTATTGCCTTCATTTCAAACTTATTGATTATGTTTGTTATGAATGTGTCGTAAGTCTGTCTCTCGAGACCACGAATTCTGGCGAAGAATACGAGAGTTTGCATTCCTGTCAACGGATCCAAAAGGGCGTTATTTTGTGGACAATAACCGATTCGTGAGAAGTATTTCTGTGTCTTTACTTTCAGGTCTGCGTCTAAACCCAAGTATGCGTTACCGGAGTCTGAGTCCAGATCTCCAGTGAGTAGTCTAAAGGTTGATGTCTTTCCCGAACCATTGGTTCCCAATAAACCCAAACATTCACTTCTGTTCACCAAAAACGACAACTCATTTACTAATATTGTCTTCCGATTCACTTTTTTACTCAATTTGTGGACAATTAGTGAAACGCTTTCAAAATCTTTATTTCTTATCACTTGTGATACTTTTTCCGACTCTTCTCTCACATCCGATCTCTCCATCACTTCGTCATTGTTTTCAACCCTAATATTATTTGCAAATAATTTCCTCCAATTAAACACATTATATTCAATCAATAAGATTATCGCCACATATAAAACACCATAGATTGTAAACCGGATTAAATAGCTATTAATAAAACCAAACGGATTAAGGGCTGGATTGCAGTCATTGAAAACAGTGCCGACAAATGTCTGATGAATTTTCACTGAAATTGTCTTCTTCTCTGGTAATGTCGGGCATAACTTAAACATATGTTTCATATAATGAATGCCATTTAAAAACACAACATTAGGACTAATGAACGCCAGTATCTCAAGAATAACGCACAAAATGATTGAATGATTAGTTATGGTAAACATTGACAACAATTGTAAACCTATGGCAACGGTTCCGGCAATTTGTTGCCATAAGACTACAAACCAATAGGCAGTCAAAGACTTTCTGAATGGCAGTGATATTAAGTAAACGTATGGCACAAACGCCACGCCATAGACGGCAAACATCGCGTACTTTAACAACAGAATTGCAGAATATTCTGTTGCCGTAAACAATGTATAAATCGCTGAACACATTGAATGTAGGGTTAAGTCAAACATCATATTTGCCGCCCAATACAGGGCCGGATTAACCCCAGCCATGTATTGTAATAGCTTAAACTTGGTCACTTTTTCGGCCATTGGTTGCAATACATAAATGCCTGTTATTAGTGAATAGATGTAAAACCATACGATGTAATCGTTGGCCATATCTATGTATTTTGAGTGTTGGTTGGCCTGAGATTCAGCGGTTCCCGAGCTTTCAGTTATCAATGGCTTATTACTGGTACTGATCTCGTAGTCCATGTCTTGAGTTAATTGTTTGATCAATGAGTTTGTCATTAAATTTATCGCAATGGGCAGCGAGTGTCGGGCCATTAGATTGTACCAAATGGTTATATCGATGTTGTCAGCGGTTTTTGCCGTATGATTAGCCGATACGCCGACCAATAAGTTGTGGAAATAATTGCTTAAACTATTGCCAGAATAATCTACAAGTAATTGTTGAATGTCTTTGTGTGGATCGCTTCCAAGCGGTATCTCTTGGATATCATTATTAAACAATACCTCCGGATAGGTCTCCGACAGTATTGTCTGATTATTGCCCAAAACAATAAACCCTTTCATACCGTTCTTCCCATAGATTTCTAGTGATTTCATTTGTATTTCACGCGTATTTGTTTGAAACATAAATTCAGTGTAATGTGCGATAAATGTCATGATTATCACCGATAAAACGGGTATTAATATTAATGATAACAATATTGTCCAACGGTGTGACAGATACTGGAATCGCTTCATAAGTATGGCATCGATTTGGCGGACACTGTGTTTGAAACCCGATTTTACGGGATTTTTAGCGCCAGAATCGGTCGATTCCGGGACAGAAATCCCGTTATTCTTGTAATTGTCTTCATTGCCATCACTGGTAGATGTGTTGCTAAAATTCACGCATTTGTCGCCCGCATTGAATTCATTAGCGGTGATAATCTCGTGGTAAGTCTCCTCCAGAGTAGTCAATGACAGCGATATATCATTAACGGACAGACGGCTTGATTTTGACTCTAAATCGGCAAACATTGGCCCAAATCGGAGACTGTCTTCGAGCGGTAAATCATAGATCAGATCCACGGTATCTGTGAATGGATTTTTTGTGACATTTTTTATTTTCGCGTATTTGTCGACAAGTTTTGTTATCTTGCGATCACTTTTCGGATCAATTGGTTTATTGATTTTCAATTGATAGCAACAGTTGTGTTGTTTTCTCATATCAAGTGAATTGCCATTAAAACGGATCAATCCGTTGGAGATAATGCACATCTGATCCGCTAATACTCGCGCCTCTTCGCAGTCATTAGTGGCAATCAAAACGGTTTTTGTTTTACTTCTGGAGGCAATGATTAGATCCCAAACCTGTTGTCTAACTCTCGGATCCAAAGCGGCCGTCGGTTCGTCTAATACTAAGACATCGTTGTGTCCGATGAGAGCCAACGACAGGACCAGTCGTCGAAGAGAACCTCCGGACAGATGTAAGGCCTGTTTGTCTATGTCTTCCTCGAGACCTAATCTAGTGATGAGTTCTTCACCACTGTATCCATCATTACTATGACGTATGGTTTGCTTTAATTGCGAGAATATCTTTAAATGTTGTCTAATTGTCAAGTATTTGAAGTAAACGTTTTGTTGCGGACAAAAACCAATCATATTTCTCGCCGATTGTCTGTCACGAGTGATATCGTGTCCACCGATATATACCTGTCCGTCGAAATGCACGGCTCCTGAAGTAAATAAGTTATAATTTACGTTAACTTTTTTGATTTGATATTAATTTTTCACAACAATTACCGGTAATGATGTCAACGAGTGTTGACTTTCCCGAGTCGTTGGGACCCATAATAACGGCACATGTATTACAATTGACATTAAAATCGATGCCATTAAATATGAATTGCTTTTTACCAAACAGTGTGTTATAGTCTTTGCGCAAATCTCTCACACATATCATAGGATTACCATTACTTAAATCAATAAATTCATTGGATTTTATAAAACATTTTCTCAATTTCTCATAAATACATAAAACGGGAAAATAAAACGGTTTATGAATTGTGTGTTTCAATGGTATGATTGACGAGAAATACCAAATCAATAGCGCATACATTGGGTACGAGACTATAATCGCAACCAATATATGGCCTAAAGTTTGTTCATCAAAAATATAACCAGGGTCATGTATATGATGCCAATCGGCACCGGAATCCGAGTGCATTTCCAATAGTATACACCTATGTATAAACCAAAAGAGGGCACAGTTTGGCATCAGACAAGACAGGGTCTCCAAACGCCAACCCATCAACATTTGCCTATTAATCGCCTTAAAGCCATACAAACACGCCATAGG